CTATAAAAAGACTAATTATTTCAAAATAAAAAAAATGGGAAGATACATGAGAGTATAGTATCATTTTATCATTATTACTGGTTTTATTATTATTACTGGTATTAAAATTTACACAATTTATTTTATAGCAACCCCAAATAATATTACTTAAAGAAGGAACTGATTCTTCACAAGGAAAACAGCAATTGATATCAAATATCAATGCATGTCAAGTGGTAGTAGATGCTGTGAGGACCACTCTAGGCCCTCGAGGAATGGATAAACTTATTGTGGACCAAAATGGGAAAGCCACCATCTCAAATGATGGTGCAACTATATTAAAACTTTTGGAAGTTGTTCATCCTGCAGCCAAGACCTTGGTAGATATTGCTAAGTCTCAAGATGCAGAAGTAAGTATTAGTTAATAAACATTGTAATAACTCTGCAATGAATTCAAATTGGTATTATGGTAGTAAAATATTATCATTAAACATGCAGAGAACATTAATGAACTTATAGACTGGTAACATTTTGAAGATTTGTAGTTACCTCAATGCTGTTCGAACATATTATTCAGTTATTTTTATTGTGAATTTCTTATTTTTATGTACAGGTTGGCGATGGTACTACCAGTACAGTTCTATTAGCTGGAGAATTTTTGAAGCAGATGAAACCCTTCATCGAGGAAGGAGTACACCCACGTGTTATGATTAAAGCTCTTCGTCTTGCACTCCAAGTATCTATTGATAAAATAAATGCAGTGAGCGAAAAGTTTGATAAATCTCAGAAAGCAAGACTAAGGGAACTTTTACAAGAATGCGCAGCCACATCTATGAGCTCGAAATTGATTCATCAACAAAAAGAATTCTTTAGCCGTTTAGTAGTAAAAGCTGTTATGATGCTTGATGATATGTTACCACTAAACATGATTGGTATTAAGAAGGTAATTGTAGAAAGATTTGAAGCTAATGGAAAATATAATGTTAATTTAATGCTAATTTGATGTTAATTTTATAAAATATTTTGTGGATAGGTGTCTGGCGGAGCTTTAGAAGATTCAGAATTAGTTACAGGTGTAGCCTTTAAGAAAACGTTTTCGTATGCTGGATTTGAAATGCAACCTAAAAAATACAAGGATTGTAAAATTGCTTTGTTGAATATAGAATTGGAACTCAAAGCAGAGAGGGACAATGCAGAAATACGAGTAGACAATGTTATTGAATATCAAAAAGTAGTTGATGCGGAATGGCAAATATTATACAATAAATTAGACAAAATTCACAAGAGTGGTGCCCAAGTTGTGTTATCTAAGTTGCCCATTGGTGATGTTGCTACGCAGTATTTCGCAGATAGAGATATGTTTTGTGCAGGACGAGTTCCTGAAGAGGATTTGAAAAGAACAATGAAGGCTTGTGGTGGCAGTATTTTAACAACAGTACATGATATTAAAGATTCAGATTTGGGCAGGTGCGAGATGTTCGAAGAAAAGCAAATTGGTGGAGAGAGGTATTTAGATA